CAATTCTGCGTGTAAAATAAATCCTTTGGAGGCAGGAAAATTGGYCAAATGTACATTTTCCACTTAGGTTATGAAATAGTCTTAACTGTACTGTAACCTGGGTAACTGGTGTTCTGTTTGTTTTATTCAGMGGATTCTTTTCTCTGTTAATGCATATTTGATTGATAGACTGTTTACACTTGTCATGTCAATACTGCTGTTATAAAGTTTAAAACACATGAACAACAAAAAATCTCCCACCCAAACCCCCAAACTAAAAAAAAAAAAACCAGAAACCCTCCCCCTACACTAAGCACAAAACATTGTATATTTTCCTGGGGTTGGCTGGAGTACCATTTATTCCTGGTGTTTTGGATGGTTTCACTGGAAGTGAAGTAATCACATGGCAATAAAATTTACTCTTCTGTTCAGGAGCTTTCAGGTGACTTAGCACAATTTGTGAATCTTCATAAGGCTTGTTTGAAAGATCCAGTCTTCAAAAGTGAGRGATTTTATTTTCCTTGGGATGAAAGAAGGGCAGAAGGAATGGTGTGGGTTACTATCCCTGTCTTTCAGATGAAGGAGTTAAGGTATTGGGCAGTTTGCGTATTAAAGTCACACAGCCTGGCAGGAATTAAGATCTCATAATTAGATGTGTAATGACTTTTTAATGCCACAGAAAATCCTGGAGTAGCTGACAGACTCCAAAACCTCCAAATGTGATTGAGGATGATGAAGACCCATGGCAGGGGACATTCAGGAGATGACACTTAGGGCAGAACCCTGTTAGAGAGAAGCTGGGGGAATAGAGTGGCTAAAGGAACTGAAAAGAATACTAAATCATCTTTCAGATGTAATAGTGATAATTAACCTGTTAGGAAACCTAGTGARACCTGGTGGTCAGGGTGCAAAGGGAACACTCAGAGGGCTGAGAGMTGAAGAAATAGAGCTCATTCCCCAGCCAGAGCCCTTTCCAGGACAGGGCAAARGGAAGGAAACAAGCAGAGGATATATCTGAAACAAAAGTGACTATGGGTTGAGTTTTAGAGAAGAATCAGCACTAAACAAACRAGTTTTCTGAAACAAAACAAAAATGAAACTGCTGAAATACTAAAAATAATGCATAATTCTCCCACTGTCACTCTGGCATAATCTTTCTTGGTGTCCGAGGGCTGTAGCATGGCATACGAAAGATTCCAGGGGAATCCAAGGAACTGTAGGCCTGTGATCTGACCAGGCAAGTTAATGGGAATTAAGACAAAGGAACTATCAGTCATTAGGTACCTAGAAAAATACAGCCTACTTGAAGAGAGTCAGAATGCTTTTTGTAAAATTAAATTCCAGCTCACAGACACATCTGGAGGTTTGTAAAGGGTTGGCAGATGTGTGGATCGGGGAGATTCAGTAAGTGCATTTTATGCCACCTCTAAAGAGATTTTAGTGAATTCCCTCAACAATGTTTTGAAGAAAAGAAATAGTTATGAATAGAGAAAATGGATATGTGTGCATAAAGACTTGATTAAAAGGTAGAAAGGAGAGTAAAACTAAGCTATGAACTCTTCCATCAGGGGCAGATCACCCAGTGATGCTCCACAGGAACCTTTACTGGCACTTGCACAGCTCAACACTTTCATAAATGATCTGGTAAGAGTGTGAGTATTATAGCAAGAAGGTTGATGATGTCCTGTTACTCAGGACARACAGAAGAAAGGCAGTTTTGGAAGACTGGAAGGAAGAATTTACATTTACATTTTGGAAATTAAAATGGCAGATAAAATTCAGCATAAATAAGCACGAGGTAGTGAATATGGGAAAAATCAWCCCTGGYRTCATATATGGAATGCTGTGCTTGARTTTATCATTGCYACTCAGGAAGGAGATCTTGGAATTATGATAGATAGTTGCATTGTGTGAGACCTATTGCTTGGCAGCCATCAAAACTGCATACCTCATTTCTGGAGCTCTTAGGAAAGGAGCAGTGAGCAYCAAGATCCCTCTTTATCAATCCATGGCTTGACCACAGCTTGAATACTGTGWCTAATTATGGTTCCTTTATCTTAAAGGGTGAGGAAAAGGGTTAGGGAAAGTATTTCCTTCATCTCAGCAAGAACCACAATTTTCCCATAAAAACTGGGTAACAAGAATAATCAAGGATGTAAAATGGGTGCCAAGATAAGGAAAGAAAAAAAAAAAAAAAAAAGACCACATATACTAGGACAAGTAGAGTTACTGGAAACAGGGTAAACCAAAAAGGAACTGTTTTCTTCTTCTGAGTGGTGATAGCCCTATGGAACCTGCTGCCAAAAGTTACTGCAGATGCTGGTACTGTGGATGAGAAACCGGTCAAACACTTGCCAGAAAGATTTGTGGAATGGTGCTACCTAAAGGATTCATGGAAAGCTTGCGTGACTCACCAGCTGAAAATAGTCGGTGTGGGAAAGCACCCAGGGGAAGCAAACTCGCCCTGCTCTTGTTCTTCCTTGGACAGCTGCTTTTGATCAGAGCTGTGGRAAGAGCAGGGGCTGGGTGGGCCCTTGAGGGAGCCGCTGGAGCTGCTCGGGCGGAATGCAGGCGGTACGTGACAGGGCTAACCTGGGCAAGGAACGAGAGCCACCTCCGATGGCAGCGGCAGCCCCAGCTCCGGCCGCACGCACAGCTCATCCTCCCGCGGCATCAATCAGCCTGGCCCGGGATTCCTGCTGTCGACACCGGGATGTTCCCAGCTCTGAGCTGGCTTAYATGAAATATTGCTGTTCCACACTGCTATTTGCTGCGTGGGCATTCCCGCTGAGCGGGCATGGTCGTGCACCTATTATTTTGGTGGAGTCTACAAATATGAAGATGCTGAATTCTCAAAAAAGGAAAAGTCTTCCAGTTTTAACTCTCAGTTTGTTGCCATCTTCTGTTTATTCCTTTCATGGATCTAATATTTTTTTCTGAGTGTCAGCTCTATTATACTTTAATTGGGGTCTGAAAATCATTAGGTTGGGTGGTTTTTTTTTGGTTCATGGATCACTGTCAGCAATAATAATGATTTGTGGCCAGAACCGTATTAAGAATAGATTCCAATGTATTCTCTTTTTAACTGTGATGGCTTTGAAGATCTAATAGCACCGAAAATTAGCAAATAACTATTTTTATCACTAGAGTCAGCGTCTCTGACTCAGAGTGTCCATTAAGGAAATTAATTTTAAACAACAGGATTTAAAAAAAAATTATTGTCACTCATTATCTTAACTACGCTTAAAAAGAAATGAACTATTATAGAAATTAAAATATTTTATTCGTGCAATTACAAACTAATGAAGACTATTACTGGGTGATTTTGTTAATTAATGTTRTTGCACGTTTAATCCCGGGGTGATTCTCAGGGTCTCCAGCTGGGGGCACTGGGCAGACATGGAAACGTGGCRATGCCCAGCGGGAGCGACGCTTGTACCCAAACCAGTACTCTGCTGAAGGGGAGAAGGCAGGGAAACCACAACCAAGGAACATGGAAGTAAGATACAGTCATCATTCCGGATCTGACAATTTCCTAGGATGAAGTAGATTTTGTTTTCAAAACTCTTTTGCTACTGAGAARCCACTATACTCTTTTGTTTTCATTACCCATGAATCATCTAGTTTCTTTTGCAAAASTATCCCTTTGATCAATAGCTTCAAATCCTAATGGTCCCAGGTGGAAAAGTTATGGTGAATTTAAATCTTTGCCATTCMGTTTCATTGAACGTTCCCAGCCTTTTCCAAATTATTGTCTCTACCTGCTTTCAATATTGCTATTTATTCAGTTGCATCAGGGAAAGAGCTAGAAAATAAATAGAAGATGCTCCTTGTCAATGTACAGAGTGAAGCCCAGAATGCTTTAAGGTCTACGTGGGCCTGTAAGCACAAATTTAGCATCTAGTACAAGTCATAAGGAGAAGTTATGGCATTTAACTTCTCAAGGAATTGCATTCTGTCAGAAGTATGTCAGAGACCTGACATACTTGAAAGCAATGGTGCTTTCATGGTTTCAACTCAAACCATTTAAAAAAAATATAAAATACCAGTTCAGGAATTCATAGCCCTAATTTTGTTTATAAGGTTTTCTAAACCGGGCCAGGCAGGTGAATTTTAAATCTACCAATGTAGTGTTGAACTGGGTATTCAAAAGCARGTTTTGGTAGCAGCTGTAGCAGAATGCATGAAAGGGTGAATGTACTGATGGGAACTGCACAACTGTAAATGGATGGACCAATAAGGAAAGTCAGTATTCAACATTGCCAAGCTCATAGTAGCCTAGATTTTCCTTCCAAATGATATTTTTAACTGTATTTTGCAATAGAGCAATGGATTTCCTGATCCCTGGAGCTCCTGGCCTTCTAGCTGGACTCTGAATTACAAGTTATGACTGCTTGCAATGGATTGAAGCCAAAAGTTTTTGTCCACATCACCGGCTGTCAAAACACAGGCACTTCTGTCTGGGTGGGTAGATACTTAGTTTTGGAAAAGCAGGAGGGAACATTTTGTTCGTATTTCCTCATGTTTCTCCCCAGACACACCAACACACGGACACAGAGGAAAAAAACAAAGCCCTAATCATGCCATGCTTCTTTAGTATCTCCCATGTAATTATAGAAAGCAGTCTGAAAATATTAAAGCTTCACAGGAGCAAAAGCATCAAACTCATTAGGGAATCAGAAAGTTAAAATAATTATCAGYTGGTTGGTTGCAAGATTAGGGCAGGTTTAGGAGTTCTGTTCTCCAGTCCTTTAATCTAAGCTCTAGGCCACAAATAAGAAGTTAGCCTGGAATTCACAATCAACCTTGCAATAACAAAATTCTGTTTATACCTTGATGAGCAGCAAACAGTACCAGTTTCACTTTATAAGACACTTATTGTTTCAAAAATGTAAAGTGCATTTGCTTTTTAGTATTTCGATGTTGTTTTAAGAAGAAAAGTTGCTCCTGGACCTTGAAACTTAGAATGAATTAAATGACACACAAATAAATATATATATATATTAATTCTTTTTTATTAAAGTATCAAAACAAACTTGAGAATAGAAAACAAACTGCTTTTTAATGCATTTTAAGGGTTCTCCTGAATAAAGCACACTTTCAGAAAACTCATGCAACATACCATTCCTGTCTAGCTGTTCAAACACTCTTTTCCTGGGCACAGTCATGCCACCTTGAGTACCATCATTTCCCAGCAGCACACACACACACACACACACACACACATACACACATACAAAAGCAATACAGGGCAGCTGTGACTACACAGGTAAAGAAATAAAAATAGATTCTCTTCTGACAATAGTAGTGGTACCATATTAACATTTGGCATGCGGAGTAAATAAGATCAAGCAACAAAAGCATGACGCCTGCGTCACTGGTGATATGGTTAAAAGCAACCATACAAATTCCTGAAGGGAGACACGTGAATTCTGTCATTATAGTCTCTGTGGGAGCACTTTATAAACAATTATGAGACAACAGCTTTGTCTGCTGGTATTTGAGAGGCAAAAAGCAAAGCCAAGGTGYATGATGCTGGGATGATGCCTTGGTTTTGTATTACCACATTACAGAGGTCAAATAATGAACATTGTTTGACAAGTTTATTGTAATACACTTCGTGTAAATCTGTTGTCTGGTAAGCAACTGGCCCAATTACTTGTAGAACTTGCCATTTAAGCCAGAGAATTTGCCATAGTGGCTCCAAACTCTGCTTAGAGGGCATGAACGAAACTCCCACTGAAGTCAATGGAACCTCCTTCCAATTCACAGAAAGATAATGGATCCGTAAGACAGAATTGGACCTGTTATGTCACCTTTGTAATACATTCACTTTTCAGATACACGAAGTACATACCTTTAACATGTGATATAGGACATTACAATATATCCAGATYTTAGGAGTAGGTACTAAGTAGTTCTGTTGCAGAATGTAACAGTCATGTAAGGATCAGGTACAACATTTGATGGATTCATGCGAGACTAGGAGGGTAAGAAGCTCATGGCTGAGGTATCTTTAATTTWGCCTTTAGAACAAACACACAATTTCAACACTGCGGAACTGGTGTAAAATATTATGCACTGTAAGCTCCACTTGTATTCTGCGTTGTTTAAATTGCAACATTGAACAGTCAGACACCKCTGATGGAGATACAGAATTTTGGGAGGTACAATATCTGTACCCAATCATTCAAGACACTCAGTGCCTCATCTTCAAAAGAGATGAAGGATAATTGTTTTCAGTAGTGGTGTCTCAAATACAGTGGGTGAAGTTTAGGAATATATAATATTAAACACCAAGAGATAAAAGTAAAAAGACAGCGCAACACTTGTGTTTTCAGTTTTATCTTGCTCGCAGTATTTATTAACTCTGCTCATGATGATATCAGTGATAAATAAGGATAATAYTTTCTTTTACAAAAAAACTGTAAGGATATATTTTATAGAAATRAACAATCTGAGAATTTCACAGAAACATCAGAATTTAAACACTCATAGCTCCAACTGTTTTGTCCAGCAGCTCTTCTACTAGTTCAAAAACATCCAAGGTTAGTAATTAATAAAAAATAAAAATGATTATTCACTACATCAAAACTCTTGCCTCCTTTAGATTCTAAGTAACACTTCTGATTGACTGTAGTTGCCACTCAAATGTAAAACAAAAGTAGCTGCAATCATAATTTTTCCCTCTGAATCACCTGGTAAAAGGAAGTAATCATTTCCAGGATGGAAAAAGCTTTGTTAAGCTCTTATACCTGTAAGAGCTATCTGCATGAGCAGACCCACTGAAATCCATGGAACCTCTCCTGTGACTAAGGGGAAATAGCATGAATTAAGGCTTGTAGGATTAGATCCTAGATGAATTTAAAAAAAAAAAAAAATCTCAAGATTCAGGAGTCTGGGATTCAGTCCTGAAGTTCTTTACTTGAGCAAAACCTCTATCAGTACCCCTGCACAGTTAGTTTCCTCTTTCCAGTGGGTCAAATTTGCCAAGTCCATAAGTGGTGGTACAAGCTGCTCTTCAGCGATTCAAGGGAAAATTGTAGTYCCCAAGGGATAGTATCTGGGGTAAAAGCTCGTAAAATACAAGCTGGGCTACATAGATGTTTTGCAAGAAACATTTCTTTGTCACACTTACTAGACTCTTCAATTCAGTCACTGAGATGAGTCACAGAAAAAACCCACGAATGTTGTGAAAAAAATGACAAAGCTCAGTTGGAACTACAGGGGGGTTTTGTGTGTGTTTGTGTGTGTGTGTTAGGTTAGAATGCAACATCAGGTGTCAGCACATTCCTCTAGAGACCATCCTCCTGGAAACTTCAGAAATACTCAGTCTTCTTTGCCTACCAGCCACAAGGAAAAGTAGTGTCCATCCAGCCCAGCTGTCTGTACCACGTGCATCACTGGAAGTCATAGTGTTCTAGCACAAACCTTGTGAGTGCGGATACTGTATACTAGCAGAGAGCTAAAACTTCGGAAGCTGTTGTCTGTAGCTCCTAGGAACAGCAAGTATGACAGGTGCAAACCCTATATTGGAGGCAGAAGGCTCTTCAATTTGATTGAGGCCAGATCTTCCAAGGGCAAGGATCGCTGTCAAGCCAAAATGATTCTTTCCGCTTACAAAAGCAATCTGCCCTTCCTAAAGGCTCTTGACTAATAGAATCCTACACATTGTGTCAGACTCCCCCATGGATTCTGGTAGCTGTTCAAAACATTATAAACATTTCCATGTCTGCCATATCACTTAACCTTGTAAYGTGCCTTCTTTGATCTGTTGAATAAAAAGATTTCTTTCATCCTCGGGTGTCCTTCCRTTCTGTGCACGCACTATGCAGGTGGGCCTGTGCAGGTTCAGCATGTATATCAAATGCTGCTTCTCGTTCTTCAGCTCCTCAATCTGGGCTTTCAGCTCTGCATTGATGGTTTCCAGCTTCTCTGACTCCTAGCACAGAGAGACACAGCAGTTAGACTGGGAAGATGGAATAGTCAKTTCCAGCGTTCATCTGATAGTTGTGGTCTTTTATTGGTGGGAAGGTACATGGCTGGCAGAGAAAGGAATTGTGTGTTCTCAGTGTGCTCTAATGATGAAACTACACATTCCCCAGTYGGTAACAGCCTCAAAACCAGACTGAGAGTCACCTCCTTAGGCCTCTAGAGAATATCATGGAAGTTGAAAAACCAAATTGAGACTTGCATTCACTTGCAGTGACAGACACCCAAAGCATTATTGCTATCTTCTGCAAAATTATTCTGAGCTTTTCAGGTCAAAAATCGACCCAAAATTATATCTGCTGCATCTTAACTGCCTGGATCATCATGTCACATATTTGTAAACCCATGTTAAGCTAACAAAATACAAACACAGGTTTTTTTCCCTGTCTCTAGATACAGGAATATACAGGCCTGGTGCTGCTATAGCTCTGTATCATGGCACAGGAGGCRAAGATGTGATGAGGGTTCTAGGACAGAGAATTCAATTCATCRAGAAGTCAGAAATTACTTGCAGGTGTTTTCAGGCTCTTCACAGTGAATATTTTATGAAATTTTATTTTACTAGTTTTAGTGTTCAGTGCATGCATTCAAATTAAAATTAAGCGCATGGACAAAATACCATGCTTTCACTTTACTCCAGTTTCAACCAGGTTTGGATTTAATATGTGACATCTTTATTTTTTATAACTAACATTTTGAAGGGTTTACAGAGTTTTGGGTGACATCTTTCCATATTTCCTGTTATGACAGTACCCTATGCTAACTGTTTAGATCCTGGCAGGATGACAGATTAAGAACGATTCTACTCAGTCACTTACTTTTTGCAAACATTCTGTTTTTTCCTTCTTTTTGTTTCGGCACTTTGCTGCAGCAATTTTATTCCTTTCCCTTCTTCTTTTTTTCCTTTCATCCTCTTCAGGAGAAAACTGTCCACAAAAACAGATACACACAATCCCTTAGATGCTGTAAATATGAGACCTGTATTTTGATAATTTCTGGATTTTTAAAATCAACATGGATAGTGTTGTCAGTGCTCACATCATGAGTTACATAAAAATGCGATTCTGACCTTGTTTGCCACACAGTAGAAGGATAGTAATTTGATTTAAATTGTCAATGAAAACCTGACTGGAGTTGGGTGGTATGTAATCTATATGATGGCTCATTTTAAATCAGTGGTACTTGAAAGACTTGCTGAAGGTCTCCCCAGGCTGTCTCCCACACTTCCATCTCTCCTCCACTTCCCAGAGGAAAAGGAGGAGGGGCACAGGGAGCAAAGTGGAGGATGTGTCACGAGTGAGGCAGCACCAAAAAGGGAATATTAACACACTTCCTTTTGTTTCCTGTGGAGACTCAGACCAAGGTGTGACTCTTTCCTTAACTGAAGCTGYTTCTCCACAATCAAAGAGTAATGTTTTTCTTGGATAGTATTATCTTTTAGCAAAAACATAGCGTGCATGTAGCAGGTCCAAGTCTAATCTAACCCCCACACGGGCTCTGCTGGACTGTCCCCAGGGAAACAGAACTTCAGCAGTGACTTATTCCCAGTTCAACCACCACTAGGCAGGGAAACCAGATCAGCCCTTTCTATAATCACTGTAAAGCATTGTCTGTAGTCCGTAATCAAAAATGAAATRTCCATTCATGAGAAATGAGAAATACCAGAGGGTGTCCCTGAAGTACTCAACAGAGAGCCAAGCAGCCGGCTTAAAGGAAGCAAATATGGTACAGAGGGTTGCCTACAGTTGATACAATTGCTGGTCTTGTGGCAGAACTTTGTTAGAGAATGAATTGGTCACAGCAGGATTGTGTTTCAAGAGCCCTACCTCTGTTTTCATCACCGATGTCTCAACGGGTCTTTCAGAAACTGTCACTGTGTCCAACGTGGAAGACATCCTGTGGAACTGACGCTTGTTCTGAATGGCAAACCTCAGCTCCTCCTTCACCAATGGGGTTAAATTTGTGAAATCATCAAACCCCAGTGACCCTACAGGGGACAAAGTGGGAACAATTGCGGAGGCGCTGACTTCTAATGCAGATACCTGGCCTGAGTGTTGGACCATCATTTTGCTGAAAGATAAAAAGAAATAAAAATAATAGTATTTTAACAACTTTATAAAGGCAAATATCTCTTAGAGATGTATTTCATACTGTGAATAATACCATAGTTCTTGCATTGCTTCAGTCCCCATTCCTAGTCTAGCCCAGTCTCTCACCACAGACAAGCAGTTAAGAATATGGRCACTCAGAAAACTTACAACTTTATGTTAACTCAAAGTTAGTGTTTAAAAGTAAGAATAGTATYAGAATGTGACACAATTTCTAAGTCTTTCTGAAACTTATTATTCAAAAAACAGTTGTGTGCAAGTATGTATACTGCACATTTGAAACTGGTAATGTGTGGCAAATGAGAATGGAGTGAATAGGAAGAGAAAGAAAGACCAAAAATCAGAAAGCAAATAAGTAGTATTATTTTTTCAAGCACAGAAGGAGAGTAAGAATATCATCTTCAGAGCTGTATCACCACAAATTCCAGCTTGAAATGGACAGAGCATACCTTGATCTCCGCTACACTTAGCTCAGTGAGTTCTACTAGAAGCCGAAGCTTGCTAACCACAAAAGGATCTATCACAAAGTTATCACACTCAGTTTTACACACAGTTGTAGATCTGGCTATAAACTCCTGAAAAATAGCTAACAATAAGAGYTGGCACAAAGGCAAAAGTCTACACATGCTCTGGGGCTCCACAGCATGGGCTGTGTTGGAGGGATTGACTCATGAAAAATGTGAAGCCATTTGTTTCATTCCTTTGCTCTTGTAAAATTCGAAACTGTCCTTATGTGCCCTCCATGAGAGGCTTGAAATTCTTAAATATTTATGGCTGGCTCTTCTGCTGACATAAAACAGTGTGATTGAARAGACTTAAGGGGAATTATGCAAATGTAAACCCATGGAGAAACCTAATTTCTAGTCGATTTCTGAAGAAAACGAACTTATCCCACAGTGCTCTCTACTTYTCTCTTTTTTAGTCAATCTTATTTTTTATTAGCCAGTTTTGAAGGGAGAGAGGCCCCTATGCTCTTTGAGAAATCTGGTGGCTCCACTGAGGGAGAAAGAGGCTAAACTCAGCAGTCAGCCATCCAAACACGGTGGGCTGGCTGGTGCACACATCCCTGCAAGWCACAGCCCATCTCTCACCCAGCACTGGTGAGATAAGAGGTCTGGAAGAACACTGAGTACCTTTGGTGTGGTCCAAGGCACAAAAGGTACAAATCCACAGGAAAGCAGATTGTAATACTTCCCTTGTTCATAAAGCCACTTGTGTTAAATTGGATTTTACTACATTGGCTTCCCAGCTTTCTTTGGTGTGTAGATTTTTGTAGTTGTTGTCTGGGTTTTTTTTTAATCTCTATGGATAATTACAGTATATGTTATCTACTCTGGATTAGAACCACAATAATTACAGAAAAGTCAGTTGTAATTAACTTAGTGCAGGTAAGCAAACTGTTGCCTCTGAATAGCAGTGTGGGTAAGGTAAATTTCCACATGGTCAACCCAGAATCACACAGTTCCCTCTACGTTACTTCTGGAACCCAGCAAGAAATGTTTGGAGTCATGTGCCTTGACAAGAAGATAGAATTTGCTCAGAGAGATCTAAAAATACACTGTAAATCCACACTGGWGCAAATGAGAATAGAACCTGGTTCATCGCTAAGCGAGGTAAACAGAAAAATCAGAGGAAAGTGAATTGCCTGTTGCTGGAAAACACCATGTCCAACTGCAGTTTTCCTCACTCCTTCCTCCCCCAGTTACCACAGAAGAACTGAACATTTCCCAGAGTCTGGGGCTGAAATCCTGACCCCAGTGAAATCAAGAGGACTTTTTCTTGATTGACCTCAAAGGAGCCAGGATTTCACCCKTGGTTATTCAAGATGGGGAAATGATTTGGAACAATTTGTTATTCAGAAAGACCTTGGGAAATTTATGTAATTCTCTTCAGAAAGCCCCTGCTCATGAGTCACATTTAAAGTACTGATACAGTTTAATCCTATAATCTCAGAAAGCTAGCAGTTACTCTTTTCCAGCAAGTCAGAAATGGCCCTATTAATTTCCAGTTGAAGTCCTCCCAGTATTATTACCATTTACCAACATTCAACCATGCGACTAATTTAAACAGGCTAATTCCAGATGACACTGAACCCCTCATTGCTAGCAGAAATTTCAGTTATTTTCATTGACCCAGTCTCCTTGAATGCTGGTGATGGCTTCATTCAATAAAGTTAATTCTGTATAATTGAATCCAATCAGKAGTCTTAAATTAACAGTAAAACTGTTTTTCTGGCCTCCAAAATAATTAGTTGGGCTAACAGCTTTCAAGCTCTGGCAGTTTCTTCAATTATTTTTCAGTTTAGGTGAACTTTTAATTAAGGTCAGCAGCAGCACCAGACAAAACCAAGAATGTGCCTGAGAAATTGCATTAATTRTGGATTTCTAGCATTTAGTGCTAAGTGTACCATGAGCACCACAAAACCCTACTATAATGACTTCAGCTCCTCTCACCCAGCTGTCACTAGAGGAGGGATTGGGTGCCCAGAGCAGGAGGAAAAGTCCTTGACCAGAGAAACTGGCTGCTGTCCTGCCCGGACAGCTCACTGACCTCCCAACCATCCAGGAAGGCACCTCTAATTGCTCATACTTTTGGGGAGGGAAGGCGTACCCGGGGCTGAGGCTTCTGTAAGGATTTCTGCTGTGAGCTGAGCCCCACTTTGCAGAGCTGTTTGCCACTGGTTTGCTTTCCTGGGGCGCTTCTGAGCAGTGCTCATAGGGCAGCGTCCAGTCTGCCTCTGGGGCTGTTAGGAGCCACCACCACACAAATGACACAATAATCAGCCTCATGTCAAAGCTCCTCAGTGAGATGAACAACAAGGTAGATGTTTTCCAATTTATGAGGAACAAATCTGCTTTTGGAAATGTTGTACAAATGAGAAAATTAGATTTTACCATTTTTAAAAATGCAACAAATTGCCCTTCTTTTCCCCAGTTTTGTACGAATTGTCCCTCTGTCTATGAGCCAYCTAGAGCACTGTTTCATTTTCTCTGGGTTTGTAAAGGCTGGGGAAACAGTAGGAATAAGAGTATCAAGCCTTAAAGCATGATTCCGTTGTGGTCTTTCTGATACAATCTCTGTTTACTTTGTTAGAGCACGCACGTGGACCTGTTCTGGAGTTACTGCCCCTGGAGGTGCTGAACAYTTCACAGACCTCTCTGTTACCGGCACAGCTTGTTCCCGGGGTGAGTTAATGCTTTGTTACTTTAGCCTTACTTTCAGAATTCTCCAAAGTGAACAGTTTTGCTATTCATGGTGCCCTCCAAATTCAGGTAGGTTCAAACAACTCTGTTCATTCGTTCTCCCCCTGCTTTTTGCTTATTGTTTTGCTGATGATTAATTTCATCTACAGTGAGCTTTTACATCTTGTCWGCCAAGATTTTAAAATCGGAACATGCTTCCTATCTGTGCACTTCTATTATTTAAGGATATTCTTATTTAATATTAATATTGAAAGTGACTACTTTCAGTTTTTCTTGCTTAACAGCAGACGGCTGACGGTGCTTCTTGGTTTTATTTCTTCATACAAATTCCTTTTCCTCTAGTGCTGATGCAATAAACCCTGATAACCACTGAGGTTAATCTTAAACAGCATTAAGAGCAATTACAGTTCACAACCTCCGTGCACGCTAGTTGACCTTAAGCTTTCTGACATCCCACATCGCTCCCGAACTATTTTCTGCCACCTTCCACCTTCTCAAGTGCTGTTACTAGGAGGAAAATTGATTTCCATCAGGAACTCGTTCTCAGAAACAATTTTGCTGTTGTGTCACGCCTGATTTGCTTAGGCAACARTTTAGCAACTGATCTACTTCACATCAAGACACCGAGACAGAAAGGAAAGTGAACGTCCCCGGCTCGCACGAGAAGTTCCCCCTCGGTTTATTGGAATATCAAAGAAAACTCTGTGCGCGGCAGCGCGGGGTTGTCATCGCCTGGGCTGTCCCGCTAAAGCTCCCCTGTCCCTGTCCCCGCGGTACCCACGGTTCCCCCCGGCCGCCTCCAGCGCTCGGGCATCCCGCCGGTGCCGGTGCCGGTGCCGRTCCCGGTGCCGAGYCCCCKCCGCGGCCGCCACCGCGCGGTGCCGAGCGGCTTTGCCGGCCCGGGGCCAGCGGGGGCTCTGCGGGCTCCCCCCAGCGCTCACATCTGGCTGCAGCCGGGCAGGGGGTTCCCCCAGATGTGAGCGGCGGCACGGAACCGGCGTCGCCGGGCGGCAGGGTCTGCGGCGGAGCTCGGTGGGGCCGGCGGCTCTCCCGGCTCTCCCGGCTCTCCCCGCTCTCCCGGCCGGCGGCGGCACCGCCGCGCCCGACTCCTCCCGGGACGGCGAAACTTTTGCCGGCGGCGTGCCGCGGATCCGCCGGCGGACATCCATCCCTCCGCGGCGGGACAGCCTCCCGCAGTCAGTCAGCCCCTCGTCCCGCCGYGCCGGCTCCTCTCCCGCTCCCACCTACCTTCCTCCCGCTGCCGCCGCTTTCCCGGCCGGAGGGAAGGGGCTCCGCAGCCGCCCCGCCGCGCTGCCGCCGCCGCCGCTCCGCCGCCTTCAGCGGGAGAGCAGCTCCCTCGGCTCCCCGCTCCTCTGCCGCTCGCCCGGGTTGCATCACCCCCCTTTTATAGCCGAGCGGGCAGCGCTGGTATTTACTCTGGCGGCGAGTCCCTGGCTGATGTCATGCTATTAATAGCCTCTCCGAAAGAGAGGGAGGAGGGAAGCGGGCCCGCGGCGGTGATGCAAGGCTTCCCCGCCGGCACGGCACGGCTCGGCACCGCACGGCACGGAGCGACACCGCCGCGCCGAGCCGAGCCGGGCAGGGCGGCATCGCCCCTCTCCCGCCGAACAGCACCCGACAGACCCC